TTTCGAACAAGAATCTTGCGAAACCACCTGTCACTTTCCTTGCCAATTCTTTGTCAGGCGTAAGCGAGTCGTAGTACTCCATTTTTTGGCGCCTTAGGTCAGCTATTACTAGTGTCCAATGGTTGGAATTCCGGACATGGAATGAAGCTATTATTAAGTCCACGTCACCCACATCGATATCTGTCATCCACTTCTGCACTGCGCTGTATTGGTATTGCATGTCGTCGTCGAACAATTTTGTGAAAAAGAAGGAACTAAAAATTGTTGTTATCGGGATGCGCCCTTTTCCTTCTACTACTGTTCCGTCTTGTCCATTATCACACTCGCGATGGCTTATGCGACACATGTTGTCAAGCCTTACGATGTTCAAATAAAAGTTAACTATTTCGTTGTTTAACCAATTGCCTTGATACAATATCAAGCTTAAATCATACCCGGTTAGTGTTAGTTCTTCTTTTGTTGGCCCGTTGTACGTGGATGTCCAGACCGTCCGATTCTCCGCTTGCACTGAATCTCGTAAATGTTGCACCGCAGCCGTCTCCTTCTCCGATAACTTATCCGTTGCTAAGTGGATTGTCCATCCCTGTTTGCATCTTCGTACTTCTTCTATGTTCCTCCTTTCTGCACATGACAATGCATTATGCCGCAGCGTAAGCTATCGTGATCGGGGCTTGCCATATTTGCATGCTCGAAAGGGCGGAGAAAAATTCAATTGCTAAATCCTGGCAACAGGATACTATAGCGAGTTAACATGAACACCCTGACCTCCATCCTCCTTATAATATGGCGCATAACACAACTACAATTCTTGCCCAATTTTCGTGTACTTTTTAAAAGCAAATAGATCAATGATACTTTTCGCGATCTATGGTGGTTAACGGTAACCCTGCTTCCATCAGTTCTCTGATGTTGATGTTCAGTACTCTGGGCAGCATTTAGAATATAAGTTCACTATTCCAGCCTTGCTGTTTCACATATTTTCGTGTTTTTTTTTTTTTCATTTTGTTAGTATGGTTTCCTGTTTTTAACTTCGTGGGGATTTAGGTTAAGACGATCATTCGCAGCGCCCTAGAAGATGGCATAACAAGTTCTCTGAAATTAGAGGTGTCCTTGACATGTGACAGGCAAAGTGCCCCATATAGTGTGTTTTCATATGCCTTTATTATAAAACCGTACCAAACACGCATACAATTTAATCCACACACACAACCTAACGCTGGTGACGAGTCGACCTCTGCCTACTCACACAGTTGCACACACACTCACACACACACACACACACACACACACACACACACACACACACACACACACACACACACACACACACA